AGAGAGAGAGAGAGAGAGAGAGAGAGAGAGAGAGACAGCTGGAGAGAGGCTGAGAGAGAGATGACTATGCCGTTCTATTTGACCCACATGCCTTTCAAATTACAAGTTAAGACCAGAGAACTTTCTTCCTCTCAGTTTGACTAGAGCTTACCTTCCGGGGCCCTGTGCTCTTCAGCTCAAACACATCCATGGTGTAATTGACTCTACGTCCGTAGTGGTCAAACTGAACATTCCCTGTGAGCCCTTGAATTCGAACCTGTGAGTAGGAGGAAAGCACACACATGGACTCATTTATCATTTCACGTATAGAATCTCCACTATCCAGTAGGCGAGTGTGGGGCTCCAAACTAAAGTCAAATCACTTAAAAACCGTCAGATATTTGAGTGATTGGGATAAAACCTGAAGGAGGAACATCAAATGAACGTGTAACAACAATTCTGTTATATGCCAGAAATATGAATAGATTTTGTTTACTTTTTATTATAGAAGATTTAATTTTAATGAACAGAATTCTTCAATATTGAAGTATTCCTTGCAGTCATGCGTGGTTGGTTTATAGCTATTTTTCAGTGAGTCGGTACATACACATAAGAAATTGAATAGCTCTGAAGCTCCAAAAAAAACCAAAACCAAAAACCAACAACAAAATGAAATAAAATCAAACTCACAGCCATCGAGCCGATGCCTACTCATAGCGGCTTTACGGGACCGGGTAGAACTGTCTCTGGGCTTTCTAGGACTGTAACTGGACGGAGCAGAAAGCCCAGTCTCTCTCCCGCAGGTGGCTGGTGGTTTTAAATGGCTGACTTTGCGGTCAGCAGCCCACCGCATTGCCACCTCAGCACCAGGGCTGCTCTGATGCGCAGACCAGATTATAGAGCAAAATCATCGTTTAAGAAATTAATAAAATGAAATGTTCACATATATTTTACTCCAAATTTCCTTTTAACCAACTTAGTACTTCAGTTCTGTACCCATAGCATTTTAGAATATTTAAAACATCATATCAAAATTTTATATGTCTATTCCATTAGTCATTTGCAAGAGTGCTAATATAACTATGAGACTGCACTAAGAAACTTACTTAATGCAAGGTACTAAGGCAATACAAAGAATGCTCATTTATAGTATTTACCATATAATTATAGTTCTACTGCACTGTGAGTTTAGAGTAGGACTGCGTTTCCTTAAGCTCTTGTGGTAGCAACAGCTGCATGACTCTGACCAATGAGTGTTCACAGATATAGCGTGTCTCACTATTGGGTCAAGGTCAGTCAGGGTGATTTTCAGACCTCCCCACAAGTTCTCTATTTCCCTTCGCAGCGTGCCAGGCGGTGGCTGCTCTGCCAGCCTGGCTCCTGAGTGATTATAATGGTCAGTGTCCCTGCTTCTCTAGTCTGCGTGCCGGAGCAATACCCCTTTGTGGTTTTGAACGCTATTTTACTGTGTTTCAAGGGAAAGCTGAAACAGGAAATTAGGTTTTTGTTGAATAATTTTGACACACATTCTTTAATGATATTAGTGACATCTTTCACTCATTCCGTTCTGGCTGTACCATTTTCAGTACGGTGGTCTCCTTGCCCTCTTCATTTCTCATGTTCGTTGTAGAGTCATATTTGATTAATTGGTCTCCTATCGATGATTTTTTCTTAAGGGGCCCATGACTCACAGGTGATATTCTTTATTTTGTGAGTCAATCTGTGTTGAGCTAAGAGCTGACTTCAAGGGATATTTTCTGTTTCAGATTTCAAGTAGACTCAGGGAGATGGTTTGAGGATCCCTGAGTCTCAACTGGTCCAGTATGTATGAAGTTTTTAGGAATTTTGTTTCAGTTCCACACTTTTGCTCATCTTTTGCAGCCCACTTTTGCTGTTTTAAGACTTGGAGTAAGTCGAGACTTGCCACTGAGGCGTGGAATAATTTATTACTGCAGAGAACCAAGCTCATCTTGATTTTGCAGCTACATGAGGTCTAAGCATCAGGATTCCACTCTATATTCTATTTAGAAAATGTCTCAAAGGTGAGCAATGACTTGATACACTAACATGACAATTGACAAGGGCTAATATATTATGCTTACAAACATTTTCTACTTGAACACGCTCCTTAACCAAGACGATGCAATAATTCGAACTTAATAAAGTCGTCGCTACCTGTTTGAGGGTCCTCTCCATGTCTATCCCCTGACCCCAGGGAGCAGCAGGATTTGCAAGACAATCCCCAGCATTGCCTCTCCTTGAAATATCAATTTTTTGCCTCCGAAGGTTTCGGAAAGTTTCGGCCATCACAAGGACTCCATCATAAGTCAGGGCGGAGGTGTACTGACCAAATAAAAACAATTTAAGAGTAAATATTAAAGCAATTTTAAAAATGAATATTAAAACAAATCAGGCACCAAAGATGGTTTCTGTCAGAATGCAGCATTGTTTGGCCCTTTGCCATGGAGTGAATTTCTACCCCTAGCAACCCTATTTGACAGGAAAACTGCCCCAAAGGGTTGCCAATGTTGCAATCATTGTGGAATTGTTCTGGAAGCAGGCTGCCTCACCTGTCTCCTGCGGTTTAGCTTTCAACTCGTAGCTGAACATCTTTACAACTGTTTGCATCTGACTGAATGGCGGTTTAATCACCGGTAGGCAATTACTCTAGCTCCACAATTTCTATTCTTAATTGATGACGGAAGCTGCAAACCAAATCGTACCAACTAAATTTAAACAGAGGAAAGCACTCTGGAAAATGGAAATTTAAATAAAAATGTTCCATCAGTTAGGATTTCAAGGCGTAGAACCCTTTGCATGTATATTCTTCTCCAAGGAAACGTTAAAAGCTTGAGCAAAAAAGGAACTATAGCTGAGGTAAGGATTTTCTGCTGTGTAAAAGTATAAACAGGTAAAGAAAAACATAAATGATTAATTCATCTTCTGCATGTATTTGACCCAAATTTCTTCCTCCTTGTTCGAAATATTTGGATGCTGAATAAGAGGAGAATTCAAATAATTAAATAGGAATGTACTTTTATATGAATAGAACCGAAAGTAGAGTTGAGGTAGCAAGGCCAGAAGGGATTTCTCCACAGTGCTTCTAAATTGGTGCAGGGTTGTTCCAACCCACCTTCTACTCTGTCGCTGTAATTGAGCCCTGAAGGGTTTCTCCAAAATGTTTAGAAGATTTTATATATATATATTGACTTGATGTTTATATATTTGTTCAGTCCCCCAGCAGAATGAATAAGTCTGATGTTATTTAGAGAGGGAAAGTCAAATTTCAAAATAGCAAAATTCAACCAATGTGCTGCTATCGATCACTGTGCTAAGCGGGACTGCACAGTTACAGTCGCTGAAAGTGTTCAGGTGGTATAAGCCACCCCCTAACCATCCCTTATAACCTTGGTCCTAAGCCAAGAGAGAAAGGACAGACCCTCAGCTTTGTGGTGATCACCCCACACTTCTCCTGGAGAAACAGACCGAACCCTTAGAACAGTGGTTCTTAACCATCCTAATGCCACGACTCTTTCATACAGTTCCTTGTGTTGTGGTGACCCACCAACCATCAAATTATTTTCATTGCTACTTCATCACTCTCAGTTTGCTACTGTTATGAATTGGGCCACCCCTGTGAAAGGGTCATTCAGCCCCCAAAGGGGTTGCGACCCACAGGTTGAGAACCGCTGCCTTACAAAGAAGCGATTAAGGTTAGGAGAGGAAGTAAAGAAAAACAGAGTGAAACTGAAATGTGTTAAAGCTGCAAACCAAAGAGAAGAAGAGGAAGCTTTTTTGATAGAGATCGAGTGGAGAACTCCTAAATGCATGGAGAACGTGGCACAATTTTCCTGCAGCAAGGCAGAAACACCAACACGAATCACGGCCAGCCCCACAGCTTCACAGTGAGTGCTCAGGGGTTCTACACAAGGCACACCCTCTGAGCCAAAGCTATGGGTGCGGGGAGGAAATGTTCTCTTTGCTTTTCTTCTTTCAAACGAAGAAAAATAATCTGAAATTCCAGTTGTGGAGAGTAAATGTAGGCAACATGACTGTCAGGCACAGCAGCCCATTTTCCAGGGGAGAGAAAGACTAATACATCGTATCCAATGAGGGATATCCATTTTTTGAATGTTTTAAAAATCATTTTATTGGGGGTTCATGCAACTCTTATCACAATCCATACATACATCAATTGTATAAAGCACATTTGTACATTCATTGTCCTCATCATTCTCAAAACATTTGCTCTCCACATAAAGCACTGGCATCAGCTCCTCATTTTCCCCTCCCTTTCTGCTCCCCCTCCCCTCATGAACCCTTGATAATTTATAAAGTATAATTTTGTCATATCTTACACTGTCCGACATCTCCCTTTACCCACTTTTCTGCTGTCTGTCTCCCAGGGAGGAGGTTATATGTCGATCCTAATAATCGGTTCTGCCTCTCAACTCTACCCTCCCTTCACCCTCCGGGTATGGCCACTCTCACCACTGGTCCTGAAGGGATCATCCGCCCTGGATTCCCCGTGTTTCCAGTTCCTATCTGTACATCCAGTGTACATCCTCTGGTCTAGCCTGATTTGTAAGGTAGAATTGAAATCATGATAGTGGGGTGGGGAGGAAGCATTTAGGAACTAGAGGAAAGTTGTATGTTTCATCGCTGCTATAATGCATCCTGCTGGCTTGTCTCCTCCCCGTGACCCTTCTGTAAGGGGATGTCCAGTTGCCTTGTTTTTTGATGCCTGATACCAGATCCCTTGAACACCTGTGATCACACAGGCTGGTGTGCTTCTTCCATGTGGGCTTTGTTGCTTCTGAACTAAACGGCCGCTTGTTTACCTTCAAGCCTTTAAGACCCCAGATGATATATCTTTTGATAGCCGAGCACCATCAATCAGCTTTCTTCACCATATTTGCTTATGTACCCAGAGGGATCTACATTTTAATAAAGAACCTATATTTTGCCAGTAAAGGGCTTAATTGAAAAACCTTTATCAAAAAGATTTAAGAGGGGCAAGTACCTTAAAAGCACCAGGAGCTGATACCCAGAGCTCAAGAAGAAAGCAAATGTTTTGAGAATGATTATGGCAACAAATGTACAAATGTGCTTGACACATGGATGTATGTGTGGATTGTGACAAAAGTTGTGTGACCCCCCCCCCAATAAAATGATTCAAAAGATAATAAAGAAAGAGAGGAACTGGAAAACAGAAAAACAATGGAAAAAATATCAACAGAGCAAAAAGTTGGTAATTTGAAAGAAACAAAAAAATTGACAAACCGCTAGCAAACTTAGTGTGGCAGTTACATAACCTCTGGTCAACTTGTGAAGGGGTAGAGTCTAGCCTGTCAATCAGATCATAGCCAGTGAGGCCTCTGGGGGAATAGCCTTCTCCTGAGCATTCTGGGAACTCCTGTCTTCCTCCCTGGAGGTGAGAGACACTCTCTGCTAGACATTCCTGTTGGCAAGCCACAAGGAGACACACATGTGGAGACCCATGCCAGCACTGAGATCCTTCACAAGACATTGCACCCACCTCCCTGTGTTCTTCCAGCATTCGGCATAATTGCATGTGTTGCGTGAGTCTGAAAAGGAATTTATGGACTGGTATTGGACATATGGGCTAATATCGGACTTATGGACTTGATCTGGACTGGGTTGGGATCTTTTCTCAACATACAATTGCTCTTTTTCATAAAGCTCTTTCTCACACACATGCACAAAAAAACCACCAGTGTACGTTCCTCCAGGACATGGTAAAAGAGGCTGAAGGATAGGCAGTCTCTGCCATAACTGCGTTAGGGTGACTGAAGGACACTTAGGTGGTTCATTTAAACAAGGCGCAATATAAAAGACTAATATGCCTTCTCCTCTGCCGGGGCTGAAACATCGTTTAGCAGAGAAAACTGCTCAATTTCATTAGTAGAGGCTAAGGAACAGCAAGAAATACAGTGCACCTTGCTAAATAGAGGAGAAAAATGCGTTGTTAGGCGATCAGAGTTAAGAACGGGAAAAGGAAAACGCTGGAGCCTTGACCATGAGTGAAAAGCTGAGGAAGATGCACCAAAAACCAAATACACTTGCTGAGTTTGAAATGTCCAGTGATTTTCACGAAACAAGTAAAGTAGAAAAAAGAACAGGTATCTCACAGAGCAGAGCTGGGCAGAGCCAGCAGACATCCAGCCGGAGTCAAAAGAACCTGGACGTAGACAGGTCCTAGAGCTTACAGATGGAAAGACCCTGCAGGTAAACTAGCGCTACCTTTTGGGGGCTTTAATTCTTTTCCACTTGTCTTTTGATGCTACCATCCAGAAGTCAGACTCATGCCCACACAATTCTAGAGATCTCTTGAAAGGGCTTAGTAAAGAACTATTTTATTTGGGGGCAGGATAAAACTATATTTTGGTCTAGAGTTATTTTCTGCTTTGTCCAATACTCAGAATGTTGAGATTTCTGTTTGCCAGAGGTTGGAGATAATAGACAGAGTTAGGTAAAAGTCAGAGTTCATCAGAAAGAGCACAGCTTTGAAAAGAAACACTTTGCATTCTAATTTTGCTACTCATAGGTTTATGAGAACGTGTCATTCATTCTTCAGCTAAAGAATTTAAAACAGAACAAACCCCAAAGATGCAAAATAATAAGGACTGTCTCCTGGAGCCATCATAAGGATGCAATGTCATATCATCCCCGAACACTCTGGAGCATGAACTGGACATTGGTCAGGACTCATGCAGCTAAAACAACAGTGAATCATAGACATGCACTGCTCCGAAGATGAGCATGGGAATGCAGCAAAGTTGTGTTATAACTACATTAATTCATGGTGAGGGGTTTATAAAAATCAATTATTGTGGACATTACAGAAAAAGTCACATACACGAGTGACAAGAACAGACTTCCTAAAGAGATTGAAATTAGTGAGAAAGCCCTGGGAGATGGCTGGACTTGAACAGGCAGAAATGAAGGTGGAGGGCAGCTGAGAAGAAGAGAAGAGAATAGAGTCAGATGAATGGAAATAAAAGGAATCGTTGTCCAGTCCCGGGCTGTGCTTACAATTGGTTGTGCATTGGGCCATTGTGACTCATAGGCTTGTCATTGGCTGACTTTTGGAAGTAGATAACCAAATCCTTCCTCCTACTCCATCTAAGCCTGGAAGCTCTGAGATCTATTCAGAAACAGAGCGACATAGAAACTTCTACTCATAGACATCCCAGACTTTGGCCAGAAAATGAATTGGGTCTTCCACATGAAAGGCAAGACTTTCATCGACGACCCTGAGAAAAGCTCTGAGAAAAGTTTAGGGCATTTCAATCTGGCTGGAGCATCAGAGAGAGGACCGAGAGGCACAGGGAAAGATCTGTTTTACCCATACAACGAAGAGCTTTATTGTACAAGTATTTGCTTTTTTGTTTTTTTAAAGCAGGGAAGTGTCAAAATCTGAAGTTGTGCTTTTAATATTGGTCAAGATAGCAATCGATTCAAGGAAAATTTAATTTAAATGGTTACCAAGGGCCTAAAAATCCTAAGAACCGTGAAAGATGTGAGAATTATACATAGGGATATATTCATATTTTTCAGTCATGATATTTACATTGCATGGGAGATAAGATATACATAAGTAATTCAGTAAAAGAATACCAGAGAGAAAATAGCAACATAACAAAAATGACGACAAGTCTAGTGTTATGTTAGGTGCTGCTGAGCCAGTTGTGACAGAAGACAGGCTGCCCACACAGACCTTAACCGTTATGCCAGAGCTCACTGGTGCAGCCGCTGTGTCAATACATCTCCTAGATGATCTTCCCCTTTCTCATGGACCTTCCACTTAACCACGCGGGTGCTTGCTTATAAAACAGGAGACACTGGGGTGCGCTAACGGCATAAAAGCGAAGGACTGATTGCACTGCTGTGTCCAGATGGGAGAATCACAGGGGGCAAAATTCTAACTGTATGATGATATTCTCTCTACAATGACGGATAACTCCATGGAGCTAGGAAACAGTGTCAAGAAGGTTGGAACCCTTTTTATATTGTAACGCTAATTGGGGAACAAAGTGTTAAAGAGATGGTCACCGAAGAAATGCCGACATATATAATGGTCTGACTAATTCGAGATGTGAGGAAAGAGGAAATGAAGCATTCTATCATGGGAAAGAGAAAGAGCAACACCAGCCTTGCATAAAGTGATGACAGAATGAGGGAAACACGCCGCAGTTCCCTCAGTTTTAGGAATGCTTTCTCTTTGAAACTGCTTGCAGGCAAAAGGCAGACTAAAAACACCCAACCCAACCCAACCTACTGCAACAAGTCAGTTCTGACTTATATGGCCCTACATAGGGTTTCAGAGGCTGTCCATCTTTATAGGAGCACATAACCTTATTTTTCTCCCATGAAGCAGCTGGTAGGTTTTTTGGCTAGCAGTCCAATGTTTGTTCTGAAGATAATTTGCATTTTGAAAATGTGGCTTTTTATAAGTCCGAGATATATTATCTAAGCTTGGAGCCATGGTGGTGTAATTGGTTATGCAGTAATTGAAGTGCTAACGACCTGGTTGGCAGTTCAAACCCACCAACCACTCCATGGGAGAAAGATGAGGCTTTCTGCTGCTGTGAAGATGTACAGCCCGGAAACAGAAAGGGGCCGTGCGGCTCTGTCCTGTAGATTACGACGAGTCAGAATCGACTTGATGGCAGTGAGTCTGAGGGTTTTTGTTTCACTTTTTTTGCTGTTGTTGTTGTTTTGGTCTTGAAGCTTGAAGCGTGGGGACAGATAGTGGGAAATGTACTTGCCCAAGACTGTGAACCGATGTTTCCATCCTGGACATTTCATGGAACTAGTCTCTGATTCAAGACTAGACAACTAATAACTTATAGATATTAATCTATAAAATCAGAGGGTTGAATTTGAGTGTTTAGCACATAAATATGATATTCTGAAGGTCCACACATTTATAGGATAGTGAAGATTGTATGACCAGCTAAATTCTTACATTACAGAGGGGAAACATAGCTAGGCAGAGATTTTTTTACTGAGGAAATGAAAGACCTGCGGATACTCTTAGGTAGTAGTTTTTCTAGGCTTGTATTTCCAGATTATCCTTTGAAAACCTCTTGCTGCAATACCTTGCCAATGAGAGATGAACAAATGTTCTTAATGATGGTATTATTATGTAGATGATAAAAACACAAGTAAACCACTAAGCTGGGATTTTAAAAACATGCCACTATTTACATAATGTCTATGAAAGTCATTTTATTTTCAGAAATGTATCAACTGCATTTGAAAATTGAATAGAAAACCTCTGAAATGTTTGTCAGAAAAATTGAGCAATCTAACTTTGTATTGTAAATTTGAATAATGCCTTTTACAGAACCTGTCCAGTTTACATGTCTACCAATTTCCAAATTGACCTACTTATTTTCTAAGTCACATTTCAAATATAATATGAAAGGAAAATATACTTACTATTGCTCCGATTTGAAGCATTAAGCTAAAAGAAGACTAACAGAGCATACCCTTTCTTCAATAAAATTCTTATGCAAAATAAAAATAATAATAGCAACCTAAGTGAAGAAATCTCTAACAATTCTACTCCTTTATATAGAAATGTAGAAATTACTTAGTGCTTGTGTAGAGAATTATTCTTTCTAATGTTACACTATTACTTGATAAGAACAATTGTACACTGCACATTTACTTAAATGAAAAATACAAACCAATAGGTTGATTAATAAATCAATAGATAACTCGATAAATACCTTTGGTGGAGTCTCTGATCCTGGATATTCTCTCTGATCCAATTTCTTCCATCGATCCATCAGTTTGGTTACCATAGGTGTGTTGAAATCTACCAACTGGAATCCTGTAACATTGGCGCCACCATGTATAAATCTCTCAAGGGAAATATCTTTAAACCCCTAGAAAACCAATGTGACAGGTATTTTCAAAGTTCAGTTACTTATGTACACTTTGATTTTCAATAGTAACAAATTAATAATCAACATGTACATCTAAATAGATTTGTAATAAAGAACGTGGTAGAAATAGGTGAAAACCAATTATGCTAATTTTGCTATTAAATTCTGTCACTTAGATCCAATATATGAAAAATGATAAAATGGGGGGAAAAGTTTCCAGGTTACTGTCATTCAATTTCATAAGTATTTCCTGAGTGCCTTTTATGAAACACAGAGGCATATAAAAGAAAAATATGATAACATCAAAAAGCCTGTTGAGGGCCTAATTGTAGTCTGGAATAGCTATGTAGAAAGACATATTGTATATAGATAATTCCAAGGTATTTCTGTACTCTGAATCTGTGATGGGGAGGGGTATTTTTAGGGTCTCAGTTTCATGATAAAAGGATGTAAAACAGAAGAACGGGTAACGTGATCCAGAGGAGGCAAATGCTTTCACTACTTCAGTCATCACCCCTCATTCAAAACTCACTACCAGGGAATCAATTCTCAATCACAGAGACTCTATAGGACAGCGTAGCATTGCCCCTGAGGTTTCCTAGGCTGCAGATCGTCAGGGGAGCAGGAAGCCTCGTCTTTCTCCCGAGAGCTGCTGGTGGTTTGAAACTGCTGACCTTGCAATTATCAGGCCAATGTATAAACCACTACACCACTTGTGCAAGAAAAAACAAAAACAAACAGTAGAAGAGAAGAGAGCAAGGTAAACCACTCAGTGACTCATGTGGGAGAGGAAAATAGATCATGTCCACAAGGTGGAGTCAGGAAACTGAGCGAATAGGATATAATTACTTGTTAATCAGGTTTCAAAAATTCTGCAATTAGTTATTATATTATAATATAATATATAATAACTATTCTGCAAATAGTTATTATCGTTGCATTTATCTATCACCATTTTATATCTCTCTAATTTGAGTTATACGGGGCTCCCCTTTCCATTAAGTTTTAAAGGTGTCTTGCAAAAACACACACAAAGTATAAAATAAGCAGTATCATGAAGAGGACAAAAACATATTAGAGAAATGAATTAATATTGCCTATGTACTGGCTTAGAAAAACTGAACTATAAAACACACACACATGTACATTAAAACACATTCATTGTTGAATAGGTTCCAACGCATAACCTAAACCCAAAGCAAGCTCCCCGGTCAATTCTGACTCACAGCGAGCTGGTAGCAAGAGCAGAACTGCCTCTTTGGATTGCCATTTTGTGGGGCGACAGAAAGCCTCATCTTTCTCCCGAGGAGCTGCGGGTGGGGTTGAATTGCTGACCCTATGGTTAACAGCCCAACACATAACCCATTGCACATGACTCATATTCATGCGATACTTCACACAACAGAACAAAACTGGGGCATCCTCTCAGTTTCTGTTAGGCATGAGCCCGTTGTTGTAGCCGTTTTGTCAATCTGTTTGGTTGAAAGTCTTTTTCTTTTTCTCTGACCTTCTACTTTACTAAACAAGATTGGTCTCTCCTGATATGTTGTCCTAATTAGTCCCTGACTGGTCCTGATAAGATGTCCGAATTGGTCCCCCCCGATAAGTATGAGAGACGAAATATCACCATTATTACTTCTGAGGGGCAATGATTCAGTTAGCTCTTCTGCTGGTCGATGGTGTAATCAATACTCTGCCAGACCATAATTCATATATATTGGTTCTTCTTCAGTCTTCCTTATTTATTGTTCTACTTTTCCATGCATATGAGTTCACTGTAAATATTATGACTTGGCTCAAGTGTACCTGAGTCCTCAAAGTGATATCTTTTCTATTTAATGTTTTAATGAGGTCTGTGCTGAAGATTTGTTCAATGCAATACATTGTCTGATTATTGTTTCCTTGGGCGTTGATTGTAAATGCAAGTAATATCCTTGACAACTTCAATCTCTTCTCCATTTTTCATAGGGTCGTCTGATGGCCCAGTTGGGAGGATTCTTTTTTCTTTACAGTGAGTTGTAATCCTTAGGGCTCTTGTGGTATAGTGGTTACACACTGGTCTGGGATCTGCATGACTGACAGTTCAAAGCCACCAGCACCTCTATGGGAGAAAGACTGGGCTTTCTACTCCCATAAACAGTTTCAGTCTTGGAAACCCACAGTGGGCCGCTATGGGTCAGCATGGGGTGAGTTTGGTTGTGATCCATCCTGAAGGCCGAAGTCTTTGAGCTTCATTGTAAGTGCTTCAAGTCCTCTTTGCTTTCACCAAGAGAGGTGGTGTCTGTCCCCTGTCTGTCTCAGGTTGTGAAAATGCTTCCCTCTGATTCTGATGCCATGTTCCTCAGATTATTATGCTCAGCATACGGACTGGGTAAAGAGAGTGAAAGGATACAATATTGACACATACGCTCGCTAATTTTCAACCATTCAGTGTCCTGTTTTGTTTGAATGATTGCTTCCTGGTCTATGTACACATTGAAGCGTTTTAGAACTGCCATTCCTCTTCATGTTGTCCCTGTTTTATTATGATCCTCACCACGGAATTCCTACGCACAGTCAACAAAACACAAATACACCTCTCTGGGGTACGCTCTTGCTTGCAGCCAAGAGCCCTCTACTGGGAGCAAGGATAGTCCTGGTTCCACTCCTCTTGCGAATCTGTCTTTATTTTCAGGGAGCTCCTTGTTGAGGAACTGCTGCTTTTTGGATAGACCGTTTTTGAATGATCTTCAGCAAAGTTTTATCTGCGTGGGATAGTAATCGCCCCCAAGCCAACTCGGTGCCGTCAAGATGATCACAAGTCAGAGTACAAGGCCCCTGTGGGCTTCCAAGTGGGAGAGAGACCAGGCTTTGTACTCCCATGAAAAGTTACTGTCTCAGAAAGCACAGGTCAGTTCTACTTCACCTTAGACTACACCTTAGACCATTATATGGTCTCTCTGAGCCAGAATCGACACAATAATGGCATTACTTTTTTTTTTTAACTGTGTGAGTAGGAAGCCTCATCTTTCTCCTTATATTAATGAGAATGTTTGATAATTTCCACACTCCATTGAATGCCTTTCCTTTGAATCAACTTGAAACATTTCAGTTAGCTTTGCATCAATTCCTAGAGCCTTATTTTCCACCAATGGTTTCAAAGCTCTTTTGATTTTGATTTCTGCCCTTGATACTCTAGGTTTTGCCTCACATGCTCCCTTCTTAAATGGTTGAATATTGACCAATTCATGTGTGTGTGTGTGTGTGTGTGTGTGTGTGTGTGTGTATAAGAGAGAGAACCTTGGTGGCGATGTGAAGTAGGCATTTGGCTGCTTGGGAGGGAAAGACAAGGCTGCCTGCTCTGGTAAAGATGCACATCCTCTGAAACCCTATTCAGGTTTGTTCTGTGCCAGAATTGACTGGACGACAGTGGGTTTGGGTGTGGTATAAAATAAACCCAAACCCACCCACTGAGTAGATTCCAACTCATAACACTATATGGGGTTTCTGAAGCAGTAAATCTTTACCAGAGCAGGCAACCTCATCTTACTCCTGTGGAGTGGCTGGTGGGTTTGAACATACCTTCCAGTTAACAGTCCAATGCTTACCTGACAGTGCCACCTGGGCTCCCTGGGGCTCGACATGACTTCTATAATTGATTTCTTTTCCTTTTTTTCTTAGGATTTAGTAAGATTTTATTAACAGTGTGAAAATGCTCAATTGTACTGAGGCACTAAGGGAAATATTTTATTCTTTTTTTCTTTGTCATTTTGCTTGTGTAAGTAACATGTACAGCAGTAACTGCTTACGGTAGGGTTCAGTGAGCAGGCCAGCGGGAGAAGAGGGACACTTGGGGTTAACTACATTTTGACCTTTTCTGTTTTATTATAATGAAAGAATTTGCCTTCAAAGGCAATGGATACACATTTTGACCTTTGTTGTTTAGGAAGAAATGAACCAGGCAACTAGGCAGAATTGCTGTTGACAGACTCCTGGGATTATCATCATGGTTAATATAATATTATGCTTATTGTGTACTAAGACCTGGGAAAACAGAGCACACACATTATACAAGGGTACATAAAAAAGTATTGCTACAATAATAATAGAAACCTTTATGAAAGAAAATTAACAAACAGGTTGGTACATTTCTGAATCGTGTTTTTACATCTCTCTAACTCTCCTCCAAAGGATTCTGGCGCTTTGATGGACACCATGTCAGAACGGCAGCACCGTCATCCTGAGGGACTCAACCCTGCTCCTTTGAAATGGTCTTTGTTCTCTGGGGGCAAAACATGGTTCGGACGGGGGAAGATTAGACCTGGAGGGTGGATTGGGTAATGTTTCCCAAAGGAAGGTTCAGAGGATGGTCCTTGCTCCTCTGGTGGAAAGAGCCAGTGTTTTGTGGTGATGGGAAAATTCCTTAGCACAGCTTCCCTGGCTTTTGTTTCCTCACATGCAGTTTTCAGATTTCGTAACACTTCTTCCTCGCAAGCCCCTGTTAGGTTAATGGGAGAAAAGCTATACGATTCCCTCTTAGGGATTCCAAAGCACCGTCGCCGTAATCTTCTGATCTGATCCCTGATTTGAATTTACCTGACCTCGAAGATTCTAGTGGAAGATGCTGTTCTGAGCGACCATTTTGCAAGGCATGAGACCAAGGAAGTATGTTCCTGGGTGAACTTGTCTGCAGCTATTCACTGATCGGGGACATGTTTGACCTGTTGGTAATAAACCCATGTGTGTCCCTCCAAGCCACACCCTTGCACTTGCCCTTGGGTGTCAGGTTTAGTCCTCACAACCAACATTATGAGAAGGATCCTCTTATTTAAGATCAGCTAGCAATAGAATCAAGATTTCAATGAAAAACCCTGTGCCTTGAGTTTACATTTTTCTCCCTCTAAGTAATATGACACAAAGTTGTTTGCAATTTTGCTAAGTAGCATAGAATTCCTAGGAGAGACAAGACCATGTGGGGGAAAAAAACCACCCCGAAACAAACAAACAAAAACAGAGAGCGAAGTTCAATGTAGCAAATTTCTAGCCTCTTGTTTCCCATCTGCAGAATCAAAAAGAAATTCCCATCTAGCTGTAATTCAATAAGTGACAGCTATTATTAATTAATTCACTCAGCAGATATTTACTTCATGCCTATTATGTGACAGCTAATTTGACAGCTCATCAGTAACATTCTCTCTTCCCTGAGAAAAAACCGAGACACCAGAAAGTGAATGTGTGTTTTTGAAACGGACAAAGTATTGTCCATCAATTTCTAGCTAATAAAATGTCAGTTGAACATTTGTTTGTTCCTACCGGAGTCTAGGGCTGACCCACAGGCTAGCGAATGATTCCAATGTTTTCGAAGAGCCACAGTCCCTCAGCTACTGTTTTTGGTACTAATTGATGCTATTACTATTTTCTTTCAGCTGTGGTTGAAACAGAGGGTGAGCCCAATCTGTTTCAGAGTGTTATGCCACCAGTGTAAGACACACAGGCAAAAGACGCAGGCATCTGAGAAATCCTCCCATGTGAAGTCTAGTGGACAAATATCCATCTACGTCTCTCTGATTTCATCATGTACCATGCTTTGGCAAAGTACAAGAAAACAACACAGTCAAATCTGACTTAAAAACCCTTTGAGTTCCCATGTCAGCAAGTGGCGAGTGGATGAGTTAATTTTAGATCTGTCGGTCTAAACACAGGCAATATTTTTCCTGTCATATCTTTTCTCACAATTTTGTATCGAAAACTAATAAGCACGAGGCCTCGAAGCCGTTTCCTTGGGAACAGTTACTTCTGTGGTCGTTTCGATTTCAATTTTTACTCAGAGAATATTGTGGAACTGCACGTTCTGGGACAGCCTTGAAAAAAAAATCATGTTGGTGTAGTTATTTGTCACCCAGTCAATTCCAACTCACAGCTCTCCCATTTGTGTTGCGTCAAACTGCCCAGTAGCGTTTCCAAGATGGGACCTTTCAAGAGCAGTTCACCAGGCTTGTCTTCCAAGGACCTTCTGGGTGAGTTTGAACCTCCAACCTTCCAGGAAGTCAGCCAGGGCTTAACAATTTGTACCTCCCAGGGAAATGAGTAGGTATGTGAATAAATAAATAATGTCCCTGAAGGCAGGTAGGTCAGGCAGAGGCTTATCCTTGTTGAATACAGTTCCTATGGTGCTCATATTGTACAATGATTAATTACCTTCCATGAAAGAATGCATTCCTACCCTTTTTTTTAATGCCATAGCCCCGAGGAGCAAAGGAAATGTTTAATAAGTTATAAAGCGTCAGATATCCTGATGATGATTTCTGTCATTAGGAGTAGGAATCAATAAGGCCTTTTCTTTTTAATTAGCCCATCACATCACAGGTTTTTTTTAAAAGGTCATTCATCCATTGTTTTATCTCATTTAGATAACATTTCTGCTGTGCTTTGCATTTCAACGTCAAAGTCGACTAAGACGTTAAGCCAGCTGTGATGCAGGTAACAGGGGAAACCTCAAATAGAATGGGGGCATTCTCCCTAACATCTTTGAAAAATTAAAACGTGAAGAAAATAAGCTGGTGGAATCAAACAGGTTCCATGTGGAAAGCGGGAAAACAAGGACAGCAAGGATGGAACAGAAAATGAAAGAGCACCACGAAGATGGTAACACCTTAATGGGGGTCGCTGCATGTTCGGAAAGTCACGCTAGGCTGCACATTTTGTGTAGTAGGTTCTAGTTTGCATTTAGTCACTAAACAGATGCCTGAAGGTAGACCAATCTCTTTACTCTGTATCTTAATTTCTTTCACCTTTAAAAACCAAACCGAACTTTATGGCAAAGATCCAGACTCATAGCAACCCTGTAGGACAGACGAGCTGTGCCTCACAGGGTTTCCAAGACCAGTCTTGATGGATGGAGACTAGTCTGTTTTTCTCCTGTCGAGCAGCTGGTGCGTTTAACCCACCAGCCTCTCGGTTAGCAGTCAGATGCCTAACCACTGTGCCACCAAAGCTCGATCTGTCTTCCCTTTGTTGACTTTTGGTTGGAGCATGGTGACTCTCGACTATTTGAAAACTGGGATATTTGTAGCCACCAGTAGCCATTACGAGTTGCTATTTTAGAAGTCAATGCTTATTACTACCACTGTCCAACTGGTCTTAAAAAGTCAGTTCAGTAGCAATTGCCATTAATCACAAATTGCAGCTACAAATGGCTTCATTCATTTTCACAATGCTTGTTGCCAGTATATACAAATGTACTGTTTTGGTACATTCATTCTGTTTTGTCCTGCAACCCTAGGAAACTCATACACGTTTCCTAATGCGAAGCCCCACTCCGCCTTTGTCACCAGTGGATTCTAAGTCACGATGCCCCTGTAAGTCAGAGTGGATGTGCCCTGTGGGGTTTGGGGAGTTTACGTTTGTAGAGTTTTAAAATTAGATTTTTAAGAATGTGCTACACAGAAGATATTATTCTTCCTCAATCCAGATTTTCAAATGGATATTTCTTGCCTCTTCGCTAGAAATGATGAGAGGCACAGCCCTGTCTTGCTCCTACTTTCAGGGAAAACCACTATGTGTTTCCCTATTAAGTTTGCTGTTAGTGTAATCGTTCTTTTGGGCTAGTTCTGTTCCAACTTTAAATTTGTGAGCCCTCGGCACACAGTGTTTAAGAAGTAGTGTTGATTTCCTCCAGAAAACAAGAGCCACTCTGGTTCTGGAAGTGCAATTCATTAGGGACAGAGGAGCAGGGCGACACATTCCAAATGAGTACAGCAGATTACAATTTAGATATGTGCAAGTCACTGACCTCATCATATTACACATGTGTCACGTGTACAGGACAAAGCCTTGCTTGTTTCTAGTAAGAGGAATGGTTCTACTCCCTGACAAAAGCAAAATGTTTTCCTACTTCATATGTTGCTACTTAACCACCATAAATATTTAGTTAAATGTGTTAAATGTCTTTTAGGACGCTTTACGACAGCCATGATACCTGTGAGTGTAACTATGACATCTTTCCAGTTTGCATTGGGCTATCATTTTGGTTGGCAATATCAGTAGCACATTTCTGGCAAGATATACGAGAAAATTTTGATTTTTTTCACCTCAATTGTATCATTTTGAACAAAAGGTTAGTGAAGCCCCATGATCTTATAATTAAAAGCAAGTAATTAGAATCTCAATGGTACTATGAATACAGACATCGCATAAACAGAGTTTCTTTTTCTATAATAATTAATACATTAATACCAAAATATCTTAGTCACATTAACACAAGCAATAGCATAGTTCTAAGATTTAGGATTTTGTAAAACATGTTGAAACACAAAGACTGAGCAGCTAAGTGGCCCAGGTTTTATGAAACACGAAGACCATGGGTCTACTCAACTCAAAAGGCAAATAACATTCCTATATTTTCATGAGACCCCATGGGAAGTAGCATGATTAGGTTTTACTGAGAAAAAAAAATACAACGTGAATTTTCAGTCCATTGCTGCACATTACAATCTCAGCTGTGTGGTTCACTAAAGATGGCGGATTCTTATCTTAAAGTATGACAGAGCCCTTGCCACATGAGAGTAGATGGATTGGACTTTCTTTTGAATATTTCAACCTTTTTCAAACTCAAAATACTTACTACAAAAATGTGTGGAGGGAGAGAATAGAAAAGGAAGAGAACATTCTTCAGTGGGATAAGCCACTTTAGACAAGAAGCACTGGGGGCAGTTGGTTCTCTAATAAAACAAGAGAGGATTCCTCTCCGTGGCCGGTTTTCCTGCACTGTGACTTTAATAACAGAGACACAGTGAGTCTTGCCAGCTAATCAGAAGCATTGGTCTCAGACTTGGAAGGGCTTCATCATAATGCATGTAGCTTGTTTAATAACTGCATGGAGTATGTGACAAGATGACATCATTTTAAAAGATGGATTATTCACATTTGAAAGACATGCTTAAACGAGCCATTTCAATCTTGTCATTCTTAAGATTGGAGAACAAGGCTCATCCGTGTAGATTATTCTTATAGTCCTTCTACATATTGGCAGTCTTTGCCCACAGACTAACATTTGTCATCTAGACAGAGAAACAGCCACACTTTTATTTGATAAGCGATACCACAGAGAAGTAGGCATTATGATGCTATAATTTACTTTAAAGGTTACTCTGGCAAGGATCAAAGTGATCTGCATCAAAGTATGTTGAATTCTATTTTAGAAACACAATGGTCATTTCTCATTACCGACATTATCTTTTATATTTAAAAAATCATCGTAAATAGTGTCGTCTAACCCTCTGCTGGAGCATTATTTCAAGGCATTGTTCAAGTAATGTTCAATTAGTATGAAAAGTAGAAAATAAAGAGTTCTTACCAAATTTGCAATGATATAATGGTAGCCTTTCACGTGCTTCCCAACACTTACAATCTGTAAAAACATGAAAAAGTAAAGAAAACCAATTTAACTTTTCTGCATTATTACTTAAAAAAAAAAGAGTATCAAGAAACAATGTTAAACAATGATAAGAAAATGTGGTTTTCCTTATAAAAACACTTTATTCTAATTAGAATAACGGTATGAACCACGTTAAGGATAAGTTGTTAAAACAGAAGGTACTTCTTGTTATTGTAGATGATTTATGGTGAACAAAAAACCTGGTAACATCACTGGTCTCTTCAAAGATAGCAATGCAGTGCAGCTCAGGTTGCCTTTCTGGCTACCTGTAGACCTCCACTTTGTCGTCAGTGTCCTGCAGTTTCAGTGGCTGCCACCAGGGGCTCAGTCACAGGACCCACAGTGAGGACAGCACAGGACTGGGCGCTGCTTTGTTCACGGGTTCAGTGTGGGTCGGAATAGATTTAACGGCACTTAGCAACAGCAGCTAACACCTCCAATATCCACTCAAAGATGTTCTGTGTTGGTGTCTATTAGAGACTTCTCTGTTAGTATTTTACATTTTGGTTCATTTTTCAGTTTTAGGTTTCCCATACTAGAGTATATCATGGAAATTCAAAATGCGTCTACCTAAAGAACAACACTGTAAAGACAAATTCTCCGCGAAGATAGTTTTCTCACAATACCGAGCTCTAGTCGAGACAGAAGACACTTGGTTGACTCTCTAAAAATTACTTTTCGATTGTATTCTTTATTTATGAAGGTATCATCCTTCAATAGTCTGGCGTTCCACGGGAGTTGATAGCTGTCCCAAGAGCTGAGCTCCCATTTGTGAGCATTACCACTCCCATCAGGCTACTCAACCTGACAAACTCCTTTGGGACAGGCCTCTGCCTTTCTTGGCTCCAGAGGACTTTATCTTCTTGGAAACGCCTTTATTCATGTGTAATGTTTACATAGCATGACTACAAGCTTTATTATGTTTTTGATTTTTAAAAAAGAGTTTTATTGGCATATAATTTACATATCATATAATTTAATCGTTCTATCATATTAAGAAGAGTTGAACAGTCAACACCACAATCGATTGTAGAACAAATAAAACTCTGACATGCCTGGAAGCCACGTACACAAAAATTGGGGGTTGGTCATTCGGCAAAATATTAAATAATACTCTACATCAGCAGAACCATGCCTATCAGATGAAGACATGTTGTAATAAAGCCAAGAGGCCCATTGAAATAATAAGTAGATGGTAGTCCTGGGCCACTGTTCATTGGGCACCTTCAAGTCAAGAGATCCGAACCCAATTCAGCAAGCCTACAGGTTTTAGAGTGCCAGACTTATCTAGTCCATAACTGATCCAAAAATGAACTTCCTTTGACAATCTTACCATGAAGATGTGAGAAAGCAAAACAATAGATCAAGTTATAAGAAATACTGCAATGGAAGGGTTAATTCCGTTTTCTCTTGGTAAATTCAAAGTTTAGTCATTTGGCATGGGCTGAATAAGAAGGGGCCATCTTAAAATCCCTGGGAATCTCAAGCACAGTTTGTGCATAGAACAGTTATTAGGAGACGGTTGGTACTCAATCAGGAGTCAGACCCTCTCTTATTGACCTCCCTATAGATGCATGCTATTTGACCTCAGCAGGAGTCCGACCACATGGCGATTGACTAATAAGCCCTTGCTGATTCAGTACAACTTTCTCTGGTGTGGTTATTTAAGTCTTTCTGTACTTCTTTAAAACACCACCCTCCCTTTTCTGTCTCAACACTCTAGGCTTGTGGGGTCTATATAACTGTAGTCCATATAGTCTGTGTCACCCCTTACAAAAACCCATTGGTACAAATTCTATTAACTTCTATATATAAATCATATCCGTTCTAATTTGTTTAGTAGTGAACTATAATGAATTAAAACCTAGGTAATATATTTTTGAAGGGTAAGAACTTAGAAAACTGAAAGGGATACAATCTTGGTGGAGAAGGCCTACTGGTGGTGATGATGCATCCACATTCTGGGGACCAGCGGCCGCAGGGAGCAGTGTTCTGGGATCTATTTGCCTAGTTGATGGTGCTAGAAATGACCATCTTTTCAGAGTCAGATCTTGGCTGAGAGAAAAACAAATACGCTGCACAAAGTGCTGTGAACACATCATTGCCTTTCACCAGTAGAGGAGGCACATGCTACTTGGAAGGCCATGGTTTAACTCTTAGAGTTTGTCCTTTTAACACATGGATGTGCCAGTAGATATGGAAAGTTGTTTGTGAAAAATATAATTTATGCTACATAGAAAATGCTAAACCCACCGGCATGGAGTCAATCCAAACTTGTAACACCTCTCTATATGGTCTCCTCTGTTGGACAGAGGGTCAGTATAGGTAGAAACCAATTCGATGGCCCTGGCAACAACATATAGGATTTCCAAGATGGTAACTCTTTATGGGAACAGACAATCTCATCTTTCTTTCACAGAGCGTCTGGTGGGATTGAACTGCAGACCCTGTGGTTAGCAGCCCAACAACTAACCCACTGCATCCCTAAAATTTCTTCTCCATCGAAAAGTGTCCTGAAAATAATGATTCATTTATTTAAGCTTTCTAAAAAATGTAAAGTAAGACTGATGCCGCCAGGACTGGTTTTGCATGATCTCCAGCATTGATGCCAAACCTTGCATTTCTGTGTAATTGTTGTTACCATTTTCTAAACAAAGAAAAGATACAGCTTGAGGTGAAAGACGGTATGAACTAGCAGTGCCTTCCTACAGGTGTAGTTGGCCTATTTATCGAGGGTAAACGATGCCTCAGGTAAGGACGCGGTTACAAAAATGATGACTTTTCATAATAAAAATAAATGTAGAGTCAGAGAACTTGTCACCCTGTTATTTTATGATTCTTAAAGACACTGGGGTTGGAACTAAGTAAAGAGTAGTGTGATCCAGTGTCTTGTTTATTAAAGTTCTGTTGAAGAGGTTAGCCGGGCCATAAAAGCTACACTGATCACGTACTTCCCAACGAATTCACAAGAAGAAAGTGCTTATGTAATTGATTCCTTGAATTACTCTTTTCAAATTTGTTTTTAAGAAACAAAATTGTTTAGAATGATTTTTTGTGCTGGTCAAACAGTTTCATTATGAAATCAGATCGCTCTATATTATTATGCTCAACATCAGGCAAAAGCATAGCAATTGTTTTATTATAAAATAATGACAACCCCCTCACATTTTATGAATAAGACTTCAAAATGTTTATCCATTAAGGTTAGAGAAAAACTGAACCTAAATAAACACTTCTCCATTTAGCCCCTACTTTTCATTGCAATTTAGTTCAACAAATTTCTCATGTATACATTTAGGGCTACAAAGAGTCTAGGCTTACAAAGACAAATGAGTCCTGCTGCTGAAAAGTATTCATTATCTCAAAGGGGATGATGGTCGAACGAAATGATTTAAATTCAGATCAGAGTAAGTGGAATGCTGTGCGACTCAAGGAGAAGTAATATCATTTGGGTGAAAGAAGAGGGCAACTTTTAAGAGCCTATAGATAATAAATATTGATTGAGTGACTGAATAAAGAAGTTCATTAGGACATAAATGTCATGGACACTAGGCTTGCCTTAAACAAGCAGCCAGCCATCTAAGGAGGTATGGGCAGATAGTTAGAGATTTGCAAATGAATGACAGTGTGGCAAAAAATCAACATAGGATTCGATGCCAATCTGCTATGTAGCAATGTACTTAGGGGGTCCTTCTAGATAAGAAAAACACCCATCAACTCCTAGGAAGCCTGGTGGAGAGAGGAGGGCTGCCCCACGGGGCTTCGGGGCTGCACAGATGGAGAGAAGCAGACTGCCTCTCCTTCTCCCTGGCCGTGACTGATGGGTTAGAATGGCCAACTTTTTGGTTAGCAGCCCAACATTGAGTGTCCTGGGACACTCACGCTCCTTGTATTAACTCATAATATTATGACTCACTTGCAATTAGTCTACTGAGCACTATCTTCTAGCTAAAAATGTAGGGCGGTATACCTGTATTTGGATTTTCTTTTTATGTTACTTTAAATTTTACTTTAAATTTGGTCTAAGTCAGATAGAAATCCCTTTCCTAATTGGTATTGTGTTCCAGAAAATTCAGGGACACCAATATAACAGTACAACACATCCAAAGGCATTAAAATAAATGAACAAACAAAACACCTAAGGCCGTCCAGTCGATTCCCACTCAGAGCAACCACAGGTGTGTGAAGCTCTTAATCTTTCTGGGAACAGTGAGGTCCGTCTTTGTCCTCCAGGAGCTGTTGGCTTTGAAGTGCCAACCACACTATTAGCATCCCCATGCTCACTGGACATCACCGACAGGGCTCCGACACCAGTAGCATCAGAGACAGGACATAACCGTTGATATTTTAAATGTTAGAAAGACAGCTGTTCTCACGAATCATTTCTCTAACGGTGTTTCAGGCTTCCAAATATCCCCCAAGTACTGATTTTCAAAACGTTCAAGAATATTTCATTGAGATTCAAAACAAAAGCGTTCGTTTAACTTTTATTTCATCAAAAGAAAAATATACGGCAATGGGCTTTTGCACATAAGTCACAAACCTAAACTATAGTCTAGAAAGATAAGAATGGTCTCTGATTTCAAGAATAGGATTTGGGGATGGGGAAAGATGAGCTGCCTGCTCCTGTCACGATTGTCAGTCTCGGTGGGAGGGTAGAGGGAGAGTGGGGAGGAAAGGGGGAACCGATGATGACAAGGATCTACATGTGACCTCCTCCCTGGGGGACGGACAACAGAAAAGTGGGTGAAGGGAGACGTCGGACAGGGCAAGATACGACAAAATAACAATTTATAAATTATCAAGGGCTCATGAGGGAGGGGGCAGTAGGGAGGGAGGGGGGAAAATGAAGACCTGATGCCTGGGGCTTAAGTGGAGAGCAAATGTTTTGAGAATGATGAAGGCAATGAATGTACAAATGTGCTTTACATAATTGATGTATGCATAGATTGTGATAAGAGTTGTATGAGCCC